GGAGGCCGAGGTGGGTAAATCATGAGGTCAAGAGATCGAGACCATCCTGGCCAACATGGTGAAACTCCGTCTCTACTAAAAATACAAAAATTAGCTGGGCGTGGTGGTGGGTGCCTGTAGTCCTAGCTACTTGGGAGGCCGAGGCAGGAGAATTGCTTGAACCTGGGAGGCAAAGGTTGCAGTGAGCCAAGATCGCACCACTGCACTCCAGCCTGGTGACAGAGCAAGACTCCATCTCAAAAAACAACAGCCCCCCTGCTCCCCAAAAAAAGACCTGAACAGGAGCTTCAGCACACAAATACATCTGACGGTCGGCCGGGTGCAGTGGCTCAAGTCTGTAATCCCAGCACTTTGGGAGGCCAAGACGGGCAGATCACGAGGTCAGGAGATCGAGACCATCCTGGCTAACATGGTGAAACCCCGTCTCTACTAAAAAATACAAAAAACTAGCCGGACGAGGTGGCAGGCGCCTGTAGTCCCAGCTACTCGGGAGGCTGAGGCAGGAGAATGGCATGAACCCAGGAGGTGGAGCTTGCAATGAGCCGAGATCGTACCACTGCACTCCAGCCTGGGTGACAGAGCAAGACTCTGTCTCCAAAAACAAACAAACAAACAAAAAAACAAAGATGTATGCATTTTACTGCATTTCTATTAAAGATTATGTTCAATTTTAGAAAATAAAATTCTGGAAGAAAATATGACTGGAGGTCAAAAGTCTTTAAAAGATTTGATTTATAAAACTATGTAAGATAGGCACAATGACACAACACACACGTAACAGGGAATCCCAAAGAAGACTTCTGAAGTCATGGAGTACTGAAACGCTGTGACACAAAACCCAGGTCTCTTGAGATAAAACAGAATTGACACACATGCTGCATGGGTACTCTACGGACCTAGGGGGAAATCAACTCAGAATAGCCAGCACTGAGACACAGTAAAATTTCCGGTTTTAAAATATAAAAATAGCCCCTAATCCTGGCATGCATGCGTGTGTGTGTGTGTGTGTGCGCGTGTGTATGCAAAGGATTTATATATATATATAAATCCTTTGGGCATCTAGGCAAAAAAGACGAAATCATTTATAAGGAAAATCACAGTCAAATCAGATAGTCAGCAATGAGTTATCAATATCAGTAACAGATCCTAGAAGACAAGAAAGCAACATATGAAGATACCTCAGACTTTTATACCCAGCCACTTAAACTGAGATGACCTGGTGTCTGTCTAACACAAGAAACGGCTCTCTGGACCATGGACTGAAAGAATGACATGCAGGGACCAACCATGGCCTCAACTTGCAATCACGTTCCAATATTTTCATTGAAAACTTGATGACTTCTGGCTGGGTAAAACGGCTCACACCTGTAATCCCAGTACTTTGGGAGGCCAAGGTGGGAGGATTGCTTGAGCCCAGGAGTTGGAGACCAGCCTGGGCAACAAAGCAGGACCACCTCATAACACACCCACAAAAATGGCTAAAATTAAAGACCAGCCAATGTTGGTGAGGACATGAAGCAAAAATGCTCATAAGCCACTTGTGAGACATAAGGTATGGGGTATAAATTGGGGTATAAACAGCGACTTTGGAAAAACAGAAGGGTTTATGTACACAACTTGAACACACACACACTTTATAACCCGAAATTCGACATCTAGGTCAACAGTAAGTGTGTAAAGGACAAATGTTAATAGTGGATTATGCATTAACAGTTAAATATGGTATAGAGCCATTTACCCATCACAGGCAGAATGAATCACTGTAGTAGATAATTCACTGGAATCCTTCACAGGAATGAAAATAAGTGAACTGTACTATGTGTATAAATTTCACCAAGAGAATACTGAGGAAAAGAAGCCAGATACAAAATTATTTACACCGTACAATTCTCTTTGCACAACATCCCAAAACAGCAACACTATCTACTATTGTTAGAAGCCACCCCTTCCAAAGGGCTTGAGAGTGCCACCCCTGGGTGTTGTTGATGTCCCATTTCTTTACCTGGTTGGTGAATAAATACATAGGATCACTGTGTGATTACTCATGGAGCTGAACAGTTAACATGTGCACATTTTTCTATATGTGTATTATACTTCAAAATAAACATAATTAAAAATGACATAGATGGCCTAGGTGCCCATCTCACTTCTGTAATCCCAGCACTTTAGGAGGCCAAGGAAGGAGGATCACTTGAACCCGGGAGTTCGAGACCAGCCTGGGCAACATAAGGAGACCCCATTTCTACAAAAACACAAAAAAATTGGCAGAGTGTGCTGGTGCATACCTGTAGTCTCAGCTACTTGGGAGGCTGAGGTGGGAGAATTGCTTGAGCCCAGGAGTTCAAGGCTGCAGTGAGCTATGATTGCACCACTGCATTCCAGCCTGGGTGAAAGAACGAGACCTTGTCTCAAAACAAAACCAAAAAATGACACAGATGTATATGTGCTGATGTTAAAAGTTATCTACGATATACTAGCAAGTGAAAAAAGCATGTTTTGAAGTATGTCATTTGGTTAAAATATTTCCTTGCGTACATGCATTTGTACATATGTAAATGCATAGAGAAAGAACTTCAAGGGAAAAATGAAACGTGGGGAAAACAAAGTGAATGCTGAAAAGCATAAATGTGATTGATGAATTAACAAAGGGAAGTTGAGCATGGTTAATCCCATGAAATGTTGAACTTCTGAATGGAAAAATGCATCTCTAACAAGAGCATGGGCACTAAGAATTCCGTAAGAATTTCACTTCAGATGCCAACCTCATCAAGTAAATGGGGAGAAGAGCACCTGCCTCAAGGGTTACTTCTACCACCAGAGGCTGAGTGCGCGCTGCTGGCGTAGATGCTTTGCTTTCTGTGGGGCTGCCACACGCGCCATGCCTCTGAGGCTCCCTTCCCCAAGGACCACTGACCACAGCAGCCCTCTGTGTGAAAGCTGCAGGCACTCTCCTCTCAGGCCCTCCACGGACAGCCCGCGCTTCCCTCCTTTCCCCTCCACAGAGGGGGCGCCTCCCTCCCTGCCCCGTCACACAGAGCGGGTGCTCCCCTCCCAACCCTTCCACAGAGAGCCCATGCTTCCTTCTCTTCCCCTCCATAGAGCAGGCGCTCCTCTCCAGGCCCCTCCACAGAAGGGACTCTCCCCTCCCAACCCCATCACAGAGAACGGGCACTCCCCTCCCCGCTCCTCCACACAGAGCAGACGCTCTTCTCCGGGCCCCTCCACAGACAGGGCGCTCCCCTCCCAACCCCTCCACACAGATCGGGTGTGCTCCTCCCCACCCCCGGCATCCAGACAGCCCACCGCAGCACCACCCTGGGCTCTGAAATCTGGACAGGCCCAAAGCAGCAGGACCTCAGGCTGCTTCTGGTGGGGCAAGGGCCGCGGAGGGTGTCCTGAGGTGCCTGCACCTGATTCTTAGCCTGGTAACATTCGCACTGTGGCCCCATCTGCCCCTGTCCTCCCTTGGCCCTGCTTTCTGTGTTTTTTTTTTTACTTTTATTTTTTTGAGACGGAGTATCGCTCTGCTGTCCAGGCTGGAGTGCAGTGGCGCCATCTCGGCTCACTGCAACCTCTGCCTTCTGGGTTTAAGCAATGCTCCTGCCTCAGCCTCCCACGTAGCTTGGATTACAGGCGCCCGCCACCATGCCAGGCTAATTTTTTTTTTTTTGTATTTTTAGTAGAGACAGGGTTTCATCATGTTGGCCAGGCTGGTATTGAACTCTTGACCTCAAGTGATCTGCCCACCACGGCCTCCCAAAGTGCTGGGATTACAGGCCTGAGCCACTCCCCAGCCAGCCCTGCTGCTTTCTCAAGCTGCTCCTACATGTCCCAGAACTCTATGTGCCTTCCTCAGTGGCTGCTGTTTGCATCCCAGCACCTGATAGTGAACCTCACAGGACAGGGGGCAGTGCTCCGCTTCTGAAAAGGGCAGACAGAAAATATTTTAGGCTTTGTGGGTCACATGTGGTCCCTTTGTTTGCTTTTATAACCCATTAAAGATGTAACAACCTCCCTAGCTCACAGGCTGAGCACAGGCAGACTGCAGGGCTGGCGGGCCATGGCCACTGAGCACTGACCTGCGGAAGAGCCATGCTGGAAACCACAAGCTCACCTGTGAAAAATAGTATGTTTTCAGGCTTATCACTAATCACTTCAATTAGCCTTAAGGATGGGTGCAGTGGCTCACACCTGCAATCCCAGCACTTTGGGAGGCCAGCTGGGCAGATCACCAGGTCAGGAGATTGAGACCATCCTGGCCAACATGGTGAAACCCTGTCTCTAAAAAAATACAAAAATTAGCTGGGCCTGGTGGTGCACCCCTGTAGTTCCAGCTACTCGGGAGGCTGAGGCTGGAGAATGGTGTGAACCCGGGAGGTTGCAGTGAGCCAAGATTGCACCACTGCACTGCAGCCTGGCGACAGAGCAAGACCAGGTCAAAAAAAAAAAAAAAAGAAAAAGAAAAAGAAAAGAAAAAATTAGGCTTAAAACAAGGAAACGTGAATTTTTTACTGTAATTGTGAAGAAACCATCACACATATGTAAATTGAGGGACATTCTACAAAACAGTTGGCCTCCTCATCCCTTAAAAAGAGTAAAAAGGCTCCTCTTGGGCAAAGAAGTCTAAGAGACAACCAAACTAAACCAAAGTATGTCTCTGAATAGACCCCAGAGTGAGCTAGGGCAGTGGGCTCAGGGATGGCTGTCTTAGGCTCTGGGAGCCCTCAGAGCCACGGTCACGTGGGCAGTGTGGCCACGCATGGTGTCTGCAGCCAGCTGTCAAAGCGAGTGTGAGCCACCACCGTGTGGTGAAGGGTAGAAAGGTGCCACCCACGCAACTTTCCAAGAAGTTTAGAATTTTGCAAAATAGAAAGTGGGAAGTCTTTCCAGAGAATTCAAAGCAGGATGGTGCTTTCACCTAGAGGGACAAAATCTGCCAGGACCTGCTCCATCCTGGACATGGCCAGGGGTGGCGGCCGGGCTAGCATGGAGGCACTCACCAGCCGAGTTGATGACATGTCTGACCACCTGCAGGGTGCCTACGCGGGTCCTCTCATTGCTGGTGTCCAGCCTGGGCAGCAGGAAGGCCAGCAGGCGGTCAGGCAAGCTGCAGGCTACAGGGCAACAAGTACAGATTAGGCTCCATGTCATCTTGTTCATCCCTATACACAGCGTCCACCTACTCTCCAGCACAGGGGAGGAGCCAGGAGAGAGCTGCTGTGTGAAGGTCAGAAGCTGGGGCCACCTAATCACTGGGCCTGGCTCCGATGCCCTTGTCTAAGGCAGGGTTGGAGCACATGTGGCCCTTAGCCCACGGTGCCAGCACCACCCAGAGCATGCCAGGACTTAGATCTTGGCCCACCCACACCCCGGTGCTTGTTTCAGCATCTCCAGCTCACAAGGCGGCCTGCGAGAGGGCCCTCAGTGGCCCTTCTTGACTCTTCTGGCTCTAGACCAGTCTAAGACTCAAGGCGACTCGAGCTGTCAAGCACACAGACCCCCAGCCCAAGCAGGGCTAACACAGCCCAAGCTCCAGGAGCCCTCTGGCAACGACTGCAGCAGCCCCCTTATGAGTACTTCACGGACCAGACCATCCCCCTTCCAGGTGGGCTCTGGAGGCCTGCTCTGCCTGGGTATCAGACCTGTGGTCCCTCTGCCCACCACACCCCTGCCCCCAGCCTGGCTGCAGTCAGTCTCCCCACACCCCTCCTGCGGATCTTGTGTAAGGGCAGATGCTCATGCAGGTGGGGGACCCGAGGCCCGACCAGCTCAAGGGAGATGCCAATGCTGTGGCCCCAGCAGGGTGACAGCCCCAAGTGCAAGCAGGGTCCCTCCTCACACCATCTGCTGCCCCTCCAGGATGGCTATGAGGGCCTGTGCAGGGCACAGGGACAGCATCCAGTGGGGGTGGTGACAGGATGCATGGCACCTCCAGGTGGGTCATGGGAGGCCGGCAGGTAACCAGGGCCAGCAACCACATGCCACCTGGGGGAGTAGAGAGCAGGCCATGGAGCCAGAGAGTGGGTGTGGAGGAACAGGTAGGCGGGGGGCAGGTAGGGGAATGCGGGGACTGGACCATTAGTGGAGGCGCCCAAGGATTTGGGCAGCTCAGCAGCTCCTCGGAGAACAACGCTCCAGGATGCAGCCGCTGCCCAGGCCCTGGTTCAGAGAACTCTGGAGCCACAGGTAGGCCCAGAAGAGGTGGAAACAGGGGCCTCCTCATCCCAGACCAGGACCCCAGCCACCACCATCCTCCACATGCAGCACGTGGTGACCCCATGAGTGTCCGCAGATGCCCGTGGGCAAGGCTGGGCCCATCACTCACCCAGCACAGTGAAGCAGCGCAGCACCTCCTTCTGGTTGCTCATCACGAGGGGGCTTGAGGACTCCACAGGCACACAGATCTGCTCCAGGAACAGGGCAGAGGTTACAGACCAGAGAGGCCAGAAGGAAGGATTCCCTCCCTCTGCTGATTCTGGGCCTGGGCAGCTGGGCAGAGGGCTCTGGGTTTCCACCCCATGCCTACAGCAGGCCGCAGGCACTCCAGGCTCTTTCTCACCCGAGCCCTGGGGGCAGGACAGTCTCATCCCCTGTAATCAGAGGCGCTCCAGGGACCAGCCCCATCTCCTTACGGTGGGGGAGAGGGAGACGGGCAGCAACAGGCAGACACACAGCTGCTGTCAAGTCTCCAGGGACACATCCTGCTCCTGCCACCCTCCACCCCTCCTACCAGCAGCAGGAGAAGAGATTCCCAAGAAACATTTCTTGACTAGAGAGGAGAGTCTCCCATGGCCCAGGCATGACGCCCAGGACGCCAGGCTGGAAAGCATGAATCTCTAGGACACATAAAGCACTGGAACCCAAAACTTCTGGAGTCCACTTGTTCAAAATCATAAGGGAAAAAAAAGTCATATTGGTAAAAAGCAAAAACTAAGGCTGCTGGCTGGGCATGGTGGTGCACGCCTGTGGTCCCAGCTACTCAGGAGGCTGAAGTGGGACGACTGCCTGAGCCCGGGAGGTTGAGGTTGCAGTGAGCTGTGATGGTGCCACTGCACTCCAGCCCGGGGACAGAGCAAGACCCTGTCTCAAACAAATGAACAGACAACAACAAAAAACTAAGGATGCTGGCAGATGCATCTCTGGGCTCCATGGTACCTTAGCGGGTGATACAGAAGCACACCCCCACTAATCCAGGTGTGACATCCTAGGTCCCCACTCGCAGGTGTCACAGCAAAGGGCACTGACAGGGTCTCTGCACAAAGAGCTCCAAAGCAATTCTTTAGCAGAGCCCTCTTATGAGCCAGAAGAGGTAACCACAGCAAAGGCCCCAGGCCCACAGGGCCGCACTCCAACCTGGGTTCTTAGAGAACTGTCAGGAAGCATGGTAAGGTGGAGGAGCTGGCCCCAGGGCTCAGCTCGAGGTTCCCAGGTAGCTCCTTGTTATTTCTTTTTCAAAACAGAGTTTCGCTCTTGTTGCCCAGGCTGGAGTGCAATGGCGCCATCTTGGCTCACTGTAACCTCTGCCTTCTGAGTTGAAGCAATTCTCTTGACTCAGCCTCCCAAGTAGCTGGGATTACAGGTGTGTGCCACCACACCTGGCTAATTTTTGTATTTTAATACTGACAGGGTTTCTCCATGTTGGTCAGGATGGTCTTGAACTCCTGACCTCAGGTGATCCGCCCGCCTCGGCCTCCCAAAGTGCTGGGATTACAGGCGTGAGTCACTGTGCCCGGCATGCTCCTTGTTATTTCTACCGTAAAGACCAAATATGATCATAAAAGATGCTGCAGTTGGCAGGGCGCAGTGGCTCACGCCTGTAATCCCAGCACTTTGGGAGGCCAAGGCAGGCAGATCACGAGGTCAGGAGATCGAGATCATCCTGGCTAACAGAGTGAAACCCCGTCTCCAGGCTGGGTGCAGTGGCTCATGCCTGTAATCCCAGCACTTTGGGAGGCTAAGGTGGGCGGGTCACAAGGTCAAGAGATCGAGACCATCCTGGCCAATGTGGTGAAACCCGATCTCTGCTAAAAATACAAAAATTAGCTGGGCATGGTGGCGCGTGCCTGTAGTCCCAGCTGCTCTGGAGGCTGAGGCAGAAGAATGGCATAAACCTGGGAGGCAGAGCTTGCAGTGAGCTGAGATCTTGCCATTGCACTCCAGCCTGGCGACAGAGCGAGACTCCGTCTCAAAAAAAAAAAGAGATGCTGCAGCTTCCTGCCTGCTCTTTCAGATCACTTGCTCTGCAGGAAGCTAGCCACCAGGTTGTGAGGACACTCAAGCAGCCTTATGGAGAGACCGATGTGGTGAGGAACTGGGGCCTCCAGCCAACAGCCAAGTGAATGAACAGCCTCGGAAGCAGATCCTCCAGCCCCAGTAGAGCCTTCAATGGCACGGCCCAGGCCAACAGCATGAATGGGTGTAAAGTAACAAGGGACCCTGAGTTGGAGCAACCCCCTGAGCTGCTCTCACCTCTGGGCCCACTGTGAGATAACGGATGTTGTTGTTGTTGTTTTTGAGACAGAGTCTCACTCTGTTTCCCAGGCTGGAGTGCAGTGGCACGATCTCGGCTTACTGCAACCTCCGCCTCCTGGGTTCAAGCGATTCTCCTGCCTCAGCCTCCTGAGTAGCTGGGATTACAGGCGTGTGCCACCATGCCTGGCTAATGTTGTATTTTTGGTAGAGACAGGACTTCACCATGTTGGTCAGGCTGGTCTCGAACTCCTGACCTTGTGGTTCACCCGCCTTGGCCTCCTAAAGTGCTGGGATTACAGGCATGAGCCACTGCACCCGGCCTAGATGTTGTTGTTTTAAGGTGGTAAGTTTTGCAGTAACTGGTTACGCAGCAATATATAACTAATGCAAATGGGTATTCATCTCAAAAAAAGATACAGTTGGATTCTCATTCCTTCCCTAAAATAAATCCCAGACAGATTAAATAATAAAAGCATAGGGGGCCAGGTGCGGAGGCTCATGCCTGTAATTCCAGCACTTTGGGAGGCCAAGGTGGGTAGATCACTTGAGGTCAGGAGTTCAAGACTAGCCTGGCCAACATAGTGAAACCCTGTCTCTATTAAAAATACAAAAATTGGCTGGGCACGGTGGCTCACGCCTGTAATCCCAGCACTTTGGGAGGCCGAGGTGGGCGGATCATGAGGTCAGGAGATCGAGACCATCTTGGCTAACACAGTGAAACCCCATCTCTACTAAAAATACAAAAAATTAGCCGGGCGTGGTGGCAGGTGCCTGTAGTCCCAGCTACTCGGGAGGCTGAGGCAGGAGAATGGCGTGAACCCGGGAGGCAGAGCTTGCAGTGAGCCGAGATCACACCACCGCACTCCAGCCTGGGCGACAGAGCGAGACTCCGTCTCAAAAAACAAAACAAAAACAAAAACAAAAATTAGCTGGGCATCATAGCACGCACCTGTAATCCCAGCTACTCAGGAGGCTGAGGCAGGAGAATGACTTGAACCTGGGAGGCGGAGGATGCAGTGAGTCAAGATCGCGCCACTGCACTCCAGCCTGGGCGACACAGTGAGAGACTGTCTCAATACTACTACTAATAATAAAAGCATAGGCGAAACTGGGAGAAATCAGAAAACAAAAATTACTGATTTTTTTTTTTTTTTTTGGAGATGGAATCTTACTCTGTCACCTGGGCTGGAATGAGGTGGCGCAATCTCGGCTCACTACAAGCTCTGCCTCCCAGGTTTAAGCAATTCTCCTGCCTCAGCCTCCCGAGTAGTTGGGATTACAGGCACCCACCACCACACCCAGCTAACTTTTTGTATTTTTAGTAGAGACGGGGTTTCACCATGTTGGCCAGGATGGTCTCAAACTCCTGACCTCGTGATTTGCCCGCCTCAGCCTCCCAAAGTGCTGGGATTACAGGCGTGAGCCACTGTTCCTGGCCACTAATCACTGAATTTGAAAGGGTTTTCTATGTATAACAAAACCTGAACTATAACATAAAAGATGGATAAATGATAACGTAAAAATTAAACAACTTTGTATGGCCAAAAAATATCATAAACAGCGTTAAAAGATAAAGGATGAAGTAGCATAATTTGTGGTCTCAGTTACTGGGGTTGGGGGAGGGGATGAGGCAGCAGGATCGCCTGAGCCTGGGAGGACGAGGCTGCAGTGAGCCATTATCGCCACTGCACTCCAGCCTCTGTGACAAAGCGACACCCTGTCTCAAGAATGAATTAATGACTCAATGACAAAGTAGGAGCAAATATTTTCACATATATAATACAAGGTTATAAATAACTGCTATAGGCCAGGCGCAGTGGCTCACACCTGTAATCTCAATACTTTGGGAGGCTGAGACAAGAGGATCAACTGAAGCCAGGAGGTGGAGACCAGCCTGGACAACAGAGTAAGACTCTGTTTCTTCTCCTTTTTTTTTTTTTTTTTTTTTTTTGAGACAGTCTCACTCTGTTGCCCAGGCTGGAGTGCAGTGGCACGATCTCAGCTCACTGCAACTGCAACCTCCACCTCCTGGGTTCAAGTGATCCTTCCACCTCAGCCTCCTGAATAGCTGGGATTACAGGCGTCTGCCACCACACCCGGCTAATTTTTTTGTATTTTTTAGTAGAGACGGGGTTTCACCATGTTGGCCAGGCTGGTCTTGAACTCCTGACCTCAGGTGATCTGCCTGCCTCGGCCTCCCAAAGTGCTGGGATTACAGGTGTGAGTTACTGCACCTGGCTGAGACCCTGTTTCCACAAAAAATTAAAAACAGAAAAAGCCAGGCATGGTGGCGTGCACCTGTAGTCGCAGCTGTTCTGGCGGCTGAGGTAGGAGGATCGCTGGAGCCCAGGTGTTGGAAGCTGCAGTGAGCTGTGACCACATCACTGTACTCCAGCCTGCAGGACACAGCAAGACCCTGTCTCTAAAAAAATTAAATAAATAACTGCTATAGATCAATATGAACAAAACCTAAAATGCAATGGAAAAACAAAAGAAATGAATGGATAGCTCAAAGAATAGGAAATAACACATTTTTCTACCTTCTCAGCTTTTGTATATTCTTATTTCCCTTTTCAATCCCTTCTCTACTCCCATCCCCACCCCATGTAGATTATCATTCTTTGTTTTTAGTTTTTGCAAATGTGTATTGTTTTGTTCATTTTTAGACTGTGTAAATGATATTATGCCACATCTCTCTTTTTTTTCAATACTGTTTTCAGGATTGTAAACTTTTTTTCAATAGAGTTCTTGCACATTCTTCATTAATTACTATACATAATAAGTTTCTTTTCTTTTCTTTCTTTTTTTCTTTTTGAGATGGAGTCTCGCTCTGTCACCCAGGCTGGAGTGCAGTGGCACGATCTCGGCTCACTGCCAGCTCCCCCTCCCAGGTTCACGCCATTCTCCTGCCTCAGCCTCCTGAGTAGCTGGGACTACAGGCGCCGCCACCACGCCTGGCTAATTTTTTTTGTATTTTTAGTAGAGACGGGGTTTCACCGTGTTATCCAGGATGGTCTCAATCTTCTGACCTCATGATCTGCCTATCTCGGCCTCCCAAAGTGCTGGGATTACAGGTGTGAGCCACCGTGGCTGGCCTTTTTTTTTTTTTTTTTTTTTAAAGACACGGTCTTGTACTGTCGCCCAGGCTGGGATGCACTGGCGTGAAACAGCTCATTGCAGCCTCAACCTCCTGGGCTCAAGCGATCCTCCTACCTCAGCCTCTCGAGTAGCTGGAACCACAGGCACGCGCCATGACACCTGGCTGGTAGTAAGTTTCTGTTGCTATTACAGATAGTGTTTTCATACACTTTCTAGCTGGTCAGTACTGGTGTAGAAAAATGTTCTCGGCCGGGCGCGGTGGCTCAAGCCTGTAATCCCAGCACTTTGGGAGGCCGAGACGGGCGGATCACGAGGTCAGAAGATCGAGACCATCCTGGCTAACATGGTGAAACCCCGTCTCTACTAAAACTACAAAAAAACTAGCCGGGCGAGGTGGCGGGCGCCTGTAGTCCCAGCTACTCGGGAGGCTGAGGCAGGAGAATGGCATGAACCCGGGAGGCGGAGCTTGCAGTGAGCTGAGATCCGGCCACTGCACTCCAGCCTGGGCGACAGAGCGAGACTCCGTCTCAAAAAAAAAAAAAAAAAAAAGAAAAATGTTCTCGGCTTTTGTAGGTTGGTCTTGTAACTGGCAAACTTGCAGAACTTTTTTTTCTCTTTTGAGACAAGGTCTTGCTCTGTCACCCAGGCTGGAGTACAGTGGCATGATCATGGCTCACTGCAGCCTCAACTTCCTGGGCTCAAGTGATCCTCCAACCTCAGCCTCCTGAATAGCTGGGATTACAGATCTGTGTCACTATACTCAGCTAATTTTTTTCTGTAGACATGGAGTCTCCCTACGTTGCCCAGGTTGGTCTCGAACTCCTGGGCTCAAGCAGTTCCTCCTCAGCCTCCCAAAGTGCTGGGATTACAGATGTGAGCCACCACGCCTTGCCGGAACTTTTGACTGGTCCTAATAGTTTGGCCAGGAAGGTGGATGGGTGATGAATAATGACCATCTTCCCTTCCCTCCTGGTTCTTTTCTTTCTCTGTAGAACCAGCAAAGGATTCTGTCCGCAGCGAGAGGCAGGCCCTTCCTGTTCTTGACCTTACAGGGAATTGCCTAAAACTTCCTATCAGCTATGAAGAAGACTGAGGGTTCGGGTATACAAACTTTGTTAAGTTAGGGAAGTTCCTTTCCAATCTTAGTTGTTCAGAATTTTAGGCCAGGCACAGTGGCTCACACCTGTAATCCCAACACTTTGGGAGGCTGAAGCAGGGGGATCACTTGAGGTCAGGAGTTCATGACCAGCCTGGCCAACATGGCGAAACCTCGTCTCTACTAAAAATACAAAAATTAGCCAGGCGTGGTGGCGGGCACCTGTAACCCCAGCTACTTGGGAGGCTGAGGCAAGAGAATCACTTCAGCCTGGGAGGCAGAGGTTGCAGTGAGCCGAGATTGCGCCATTGCACTCCAGCCTGGGCAACAAGAGTGAAACTCATCTCAGGGAAAAAGAAAAAATCATCAAAAGTTTTTTCTGCATTGATTGAACTCAGACACTATTTTTTTTAGTCTATTACTGTGATGAAGTGCACTGACAGCTCCCAAACGCTGGAGAGGCCTTGCGTTGTGAGATAAGCTCTCCCGCATAAGGAGTTTTGAAAAGTACAGTCTTGGCCGGGTGCCGTGGCTCGTGCCTGTAATCCCAACACTTCGGGAGGCCGAGGCGGGTGGATCACCCGAGGTCAGGAGTTCGAGATCAGCCTGACCAACATGGAGAAATTCCATCTCCGCTAAAAATAGAAAAAATAAAAATAAAAATAGAAAAACTAGCCAGGTGTGGTGGTGGGCACCTGTAATCCCAGATACTCAGGAGGCTGAGGCAGGAGATCGCTTGTACCCAACAGGCAGAGTGTGCAGTGAGCCGAGATTGTACCACAGCACTCCAGCCAGGGCGACAAGAGTGAAACTCCATTTCAATACATACATACGTACGTACGTACATACATACATACATACATACATACATACATAAGTAAAAGGATGGTCTGGGGTTCAGTAACCTGCTACTTTATGCAAAACCTCACGTCTAGGCTCATCACGACACACCTGCACTTCCTTACACGGCTCTGCCTGGGATTTGAGCCAGACCTCACAGAATGAAAGAGGTAGCTCTGGATCGTTTCTCTTTCCAAGTGTACTTGTACTGGACAGGAATTAATTGTTCCTCAAAAGTTTGGTGGAACTCAGTAGTGAAACCATTTGGGTCCCGGGCTTGTTTTAAGGAAGAAAGGTCTTAGAATATTATTTCTGATGTTTTACTGGCTTATTCAATTCTCTGTTGCTTTTCATACCAATTTTGACATTTTTATCTTTCTAGGAACCTAACCATTTCATACAGTTTTAAGTTTGTTACCATGTAACTGTTCACAGCACTCACATTATGTTTACTAGCTCTGTGGCTGCCGTCCCCTCTTCCCCTTTGTTTCTGGGATGCAGCCAGGACCATCCAGGCGGTGGAGAGTGGGGCCCAGCTGGAGTGGGCCAGGTGAGGGGCAGAGCCAAGCAGTAAGCCCACCTCCACATGAGCCCACACCTCCACACTTCCTTCCAGAAGTCTCCTTGCAGACTTCACCACACCACCCTCTCTAGCTCCTGCCCCTGTCCCCTCTCATCCAGAAAGTCCCATGGACAGACGACCCCCAGTGCCAGGGTCATGGGCGACCCAGCACCTGTGTCCCTCAGTCGTTCTCAGGCCTCATTCACCCGACCTGGGGAGGGCTCCCAGACGCTCAGCTTCCTCCCCACATCGCTTCCTCTCCAGCAGGGCCTTCAAGACCCTGGCCCTGCAGCCTAGGGCCTCTCCTCTGCTCCTCTGAGCTCCGTCCCCAGAAACCCAGGGCAGTCTCCCCCAGCTGGTGCTTCCGCTGCGCTGACCTTCTCCAAGACCACCTGTACCGGGCCCGCACTGGGCCTGGGCACCCACTCCGCGCCGACCTTCTCCAAGACCACCTGTATCGGGCCCGCACTGGGCCTGGGCACCCACTCCTGCCACCTCCATCCTGGGGGCTAATATGTCACCTGCACATGCCACTGCTGGGCAGGGCAAGAGCATCGCCACATCGCTAAGAAGTTACCCGAGTGACCTTTAGGGAATACCCAGTCCTCAGCCCCACATGGCTGCGCCGTCCACCCCAACTTGCTTTCTGTACCCCTCATCCAGCAACTTCCCACGGAAAGGTGGGCAGAACCTGAACCCGCCCACTGATGCCCGCCTCCTACCTGGGAGTGCAGTGCAGCCAAGAGGGCATCCAGCTGGGTCTCCAACGTGCGACTGCTCACACTCACGGCCGCCTCGAGGATCTGGCCCAGGCTCTGCTCGGGGTAGGCAGAAGAGGCCATCAGTCCTACCTCCAGCCCCCTGAACTGACCGTGAGGTCGACCAGAGCCTCCCAGTTGGGTCACAGGAAGACATGAGCCAGGAGGACATGGGCCCCACCTTGGGGCTCAAATGAGGAGGCCCTTCGTCTACCTCTAGAACTCAGAGCCAGGGAGGAGGGCGGGAGGGCCCAGGAAGGGGGCTCCCTAGACCAAAAGGCCCAGGTTCCTGGCACCGTCCAGGGCAGAGCGATGGGAAAACTAAGCTGGTCCCCACGAGGGCCTTGTCCTTCACAGCCCACCACTGAGCCTTAACAGAGGACTCAGGGCCACCCCCACCCACCACTGAGCCCTAGCAGAGGACTCAGGGCCACCCCCGGGGGAGTGTGATTGGAGGGGTCCTCAGGGACTAGACTGTAGACCTGCTCGGCCTGCAGATACCTTGGACAAGTAGAAGGTCTCCGAATGCTTCTTGTAGAGGGCGAGGATCCCAGGGAGGAGCTTGGGCAGCTGCTCTTCCAGCCTCTCACTGGGCAGCAGATGGCTCATAGGCCCCAGAGCCTCCACCACGGCAAGACGGAGCTGAGAGGAGACAGTGGGCGGGAAGCTCATGCTGCTCAGTCAACACTGACTGCTCAGAGCACGTCCAGCAAGCACCGGGACGGACATGAACCAACACTGGCTACCAGTGGGTGCTACAGGGGCTGGGAAGTGAGCCCAACACCCAGAGGTCAGCTGTGGGGAGACCACAGCAAGCCAGATGGTGGCCAGGCCCAGGGGGTCTGTAGGAGATGCTCAGGGCCCCGCCAGCAGCACTGGGCCTCTGGGCAGAAGGAAAAACCCAGTGACGAGGCCCCTCTGGCACAAGTCTTAAGGATGGGAACTGCAGGTGGGGCAGCCTAAAGGTGGCTGGGCACGGTGGCTCACACCTGTAATCCCAGAGCTTTGGGAGGCCAAGGTGGGTGGGTCACCTGAGGTCAGGAGTTCGAGACCAGCCTGGCCAACATGGCGAACCCTCATCTCTACTAAAAATACAAAAATTAGCCGGGAGTGGTAGCGGGCGCCTGTAATCCCAGCTATTCGGGAGGCCTAAGAATCGCTTGAACCAGGGAGGCGGAGGCTGCAGTGAGCTAAGTCATGCCACTGCACTCCAGCATGGGTGACAGAGTGAGACTCTGTCTCAAAAAGATAAATAAAGGTGAGCCACCTCTCACTGGGCACCTCTGCTCGTCAGTGAACCACTACCACCCTCCGATCAATTTGCCATGGTCAAGGAATGTGGGAAGGAGAGCGCCCTGGCATCAGGTGTGGACTGGTGCAGCCACGGGGCGTACCTTGGCTTCTCGACTCTGCAGCCACTGGTGGAAGAGAACATCGTAGGCGCTGAAGATGTCGGTGGCAAAGGCGTCCTTCCTGACCGTGGGGTCTGGGGCCCGGTCCAGGTTGGCCAGGTACTCCAGGGCACCCTCGCTGAAGCGCTGCAGAGCTGTGACACCGGCCAGTGGTAAGCAGCTGCAGGCCGTGGGCTTGTGACGATCCCCAGCACCTATGTCTGCCTCCTGCCCCTTCCAGAAATCCCACGGCAGCCTGCACAATGCCCTCCCTAGTACACCAGCCAAGCACAAAACTCCAGGACTACACAGGGGTGAAAAGTGTCCCTCCCAAATTCATGGCCTTATTGGAAATAGGGTTTTTGCAGATGAGACTTTTTTTTTTTTTTTTTAGACAGAGTCTTGTTCGGTCTGTCACTCAGGCTGGAGTGTAGTGACACAGTCTTGCTCTGTCTCTCAGGCTGGAATGCAGTGGCTTGATCTCGGCTCACTGCAACCTTTGCCTCCCAGGTTCAGGTGATTCTCCTGCCCTAGCCTCCTGACTAGATGGAGCTACAAGTGTGTACCATCATACTTGGCTAATTTTTATATTTTTAGTAGAGATGGGGTTTCACTCTGTTGGCCAGGCTGGTCTCAAACTGCTGACCTCAAGTGATCTGCCCTCCTTGGCCTCCCAAAGTGCTGGGATGACAGGCATGAGCCACTGCGCCCGGCCAGATGTGACCGTTAAAATGGGGTCATAGCAAAGTAGGGTGGGCCGTAACTCCAACATGACATCCTTGTAAGAAGAGATGCAGAGGCAGGAGGAAGATGGCCATGTGACATGGAGGCACAGACTGGGGCCAGGCAGCCTCAGGTCAAGGACGCCTTGAATCCATGACCTCACCAGAAGCTGGGGAGGTTAAAATGAATTCTCTCTCTGGGCCCCCAAGAAGGAACCCATCCTGCCAACATCGTGAGTTTGGACTTCTGGTCTCCAAGACTGTGAGAAAATATATTTCTGTTGTTTGAAGCCACCGAATTTGCACTTGGCGCTTTGTCACCAAAGAAAACTCATGCAAGTACCAACCTCCTCCCAAAAATGCCCTCTGGCCACAAGTTCCTGCCACATTCCAGTCTGCCACAAAGACAAGAGGAGCAGCGCCATGCCCACCCACCCTCACAGACAGACTTGTGCCACACATTCTGCCCAAGGCTGACGTGCTGGGCACAGTGTGGGCAGGAAGAGCCACAGGGAGAGCAATGGCAAGGTGGAGGGGCACCGGGATGCCAGGGTCAGCATGAGGCCCTCCCACGGGTGGGCAGCTCCTGACAGTGCGCCGGTGCCTGTGGATGTGACCCAGCTGTGGCCTTGGGCTGACCACGCAGGCAGAGCTGGGAGCGGCAGAGGCTGGGCAGGTGGCCACCCAGGCTTCGAGTGGTGTGGACATCCGGGTGGAGAGTCAGAAAACACCGGCTGTAGGGCCTGGAGCCCAGGACATGGGCCGAACTCAGGTGCCGATGTGCGAGTGGTCAGTGGGGCTGGGCCCTGGGTGAAGGGGGAACATGGGGGCACAGGGAGAGAAACTGAGGCCAGAACCTTTCACACAGCCCTGCTGAGGACCAGGTGGAGATGTGGAAACTGGTGGAGGAAACACAAAGGGACCATGAGCTTCAGGGCAGGGCAAAGTCCAGAGCTTCTGAGAGGATGCGCCCACTGCATGGGGAGGGGGCCACACAAGGCACAAGACCAAGGGGGCACTGCTGGGACCACCTCGGCTGCCCCAATCAAGTTCTTCTGATGGGCCTACTCTCTCCAGGGTGACTGCCGACTGCCAATCCCAATAGCCCCGCTGTTACAGGCCCTGCTCCAAAGCACAATCTAAACTTGCTATTTTCAAACAATTACTTTTAATTTTCTCCAAACTGCTTAATGTGAGATAACACCTCTTTGCAGCTAGTGGGCTGATCACCTTTCTATGTGTATGTTGGCTGGCTGTGTGGTTCTGGCCCTTTCTTGCCCCATTTTTCTGAGCTGTAGTCTCCCCTTCTGATTTCATAGCAGTTCTTCCCACATCTGCTTTAAAAAGCAGCTCAGAGGTGCAGGCCGGACTGCCTAGGCCTAGTCATGGCTCTCCCACTCCCCAGTTGTATGGCCTGGGACGAGTTACTCAGCCTCTTTGTGCCTCAGTTTCCTCACCTATAAAATGGGGCAGTGGCTGGGCGCAGTGGCTCATGCCTGTAATCCCAGCACTTTGGGAGGCTGAGGCGAGCGAATCATGAGGTCAGGAGTTCGAGACCATCCTGGGCAACATGGTGACACCCCGTCTGTACTAAAAATACAAAAAATTAGCCGAGCATGGTGGCACTCACCTGTAATCCCAGCTACTTGGGAGGCTGAAGCAGGAGAATCACTTGAACCCAGGAGGCGGAGGTTGCAGTGAGCTGAGATCGTGCCACTGCACCCCAGGCCGGGCAACAGTGTGATATTCTGTCTCAAAAAAAAAAAAATAGGGCAGTGCACCTGACCCAGGGCTACTGTGAGGCTCCCCTGGGCTGATGCAGATGTGGTATAGAGGGCCAGCCTGGGGTGTGAGTGCCAGTTCCCACTGGCCTTAGGCTCCATCCACTGCTGCTCCTAGGGCCGTGGGTGAGCCTTTCCACTTCTTATGAAGTAGAGAAAACTATAGTATCTTCTTTGGTAATTTTTCTTGTTGATGTTCATCTGTAGTTCTGTGCATTTTTTCAGAACAAATTCCTTTATTTCTCATATCAAACTTGTTAATCTTTTCCTTTGTGATTTATACTTTTTTGTATCTTAAGAAATCACTTTAAACCCAGCCTGTAAGAATCAAAAGGTGCAGGTGCTCCCGACAGTCCTGCGAGGCTCACCGGCCCCTGGCTCTCCATGCTTGGGGCAACCGTCTCACACCCTTTTCTCGCCACAAACCCCTCCTCACAATGGGCTGACAACCTCAACCAAGAGGACCCTGAGACCACTGGAACCCAAAGTAACTGTTGTCTCACACCTCTTTTCTCGCCACAAACCTCTCTCTCCTCACAATGGGCTGCTGACAACCTCAACTGGGCAGGGACCCTGAGACCACTGGAACCCACACCCTGCGCTCTGTGCCTTCCACTTCAGCACCTGCTCCTGGGGACCCTGGGACTACTGAACCTCAAACACATGCCTGTGCCTCCGCGCCCACCTGGCCCTCCCCAGGGACCCCTGGAGACCACTGGAACCTCGCACCATGCCTCCCAGCTCTACTTTCCAACCTGGGCTCCGGACTCCCGAGACCACTGGAACCGCACTGCGCTCGGTGCCTCCTACGCCTACCTGGCTCTGTGACCCCCGGGACCACTGGAACCCGCAGACTCCAGTGCCTGTGCCTCCCCACGCCCAGCACCTGGCCTCCTGTGGACCCTGGAGACCACTGGACCCGCACCTATGCTCTGTGCCTCCTACGCCTGCAACCTGGCTCCTGTGGACTCTGGAGACCACTGGAACCCGGCAGATCATGCCTGTGCCTTCTACGCCCTGCCACTGGCTCTCTGTGGGACTTCTGGGACCACTGGAACCTCCCACACTCTATGCTCTGTGCCTCCCACGCCTGCTTCCACCGCTCCTCCTGGTGGACCCTGGGACCACTTGGAACCCGCACCTATGCTCTGTGCCTCCCACGCCTACCCGGCTCCTGTGGACCCTGGAACACTCATCACTGGAACCCCGCACCCAAGTGTGCCTGTGCCTCCACGCCACCTGGCTCCTCCTGTGGACCCTGGGACCACTGAACCTGCAGACCTATGCTCTGTGCCTCCTACGCCCCCCACCTGGCTCCCTGTGGACCCTGAGACAATGGAACCCACCCATGCCTGCAGCCTCCTTACGCCCCAACCTGGCTCTGGGACCTGAGACCACTGAACCCGCACCTATGCCTGTGCCTCCCGCCCCCACCTGGCTCCTCCTGTGGACCCTGGGACCACTGGAACCCACACCCATGCTCTCCAGCCTCCCATGCCCCCACCTGGCTCCTGTGGACCCTGGGATCACTGGAACCTCTGCACTCCATGCCTGCAGCCTCCTACGCCTCTACCTGGCTCCTCCTGTGGACCCTGGGACCACTGGAACCCGCACCTATGCTCTGTGCCTCCTACGCCCCCAGCCTGGCTCCCGTGGACCCTGGGACCACTGGAACCCGCACTCATGCCCTGCAGCCCTACGCCCCCAGCACTGGCTCCTGTGGACCCTGGGACCACTGGAACCCGCACCTATGCCTGTGCCTCCCACGCCCAACCTGGCTCCCAGACCCTGAGACCACTGGAACCTCGCACTCCATGCTCTGTGCCTCCCACGCCCCCACCTGGCTCCTGAAGTGTGGACCCTGGGACCACTGGAACCCACACCCATGCTCTGTGCCTCCTACGCCCACCTGGCTCCCCTGTGGGACCCTGGGACCAACACTGGAACTCCTACCTATGCTCCCAGCCTCCTAGCTTTCCCCACCTGGCTCCTGTGGACCCTGGGACCACTGAACCCGGCATTCCATGCCTGTGCCTCCTACGCCTCCTGCTGCACCTGGCTCCGTGGACCCTGGGACCACTGGAACCCGCACCTATGCCTCTGCAGCCTCCTACCCACCTGCTCCTGTGGACCCTGGGACCACTGAACTCCGCTACACCTATGCCTGTGCCTCCTACGCTCTTCTTTACCTGGCTCCTGTGGACTGACCACTAACCCACCTATGCTCTGTGCCTCCGCGCCCCACCTGGCTCCTGAACGCCATGATCACTGGAACCCGCACTATGCTCTGTGCCTCCCACGCTCACCTGGCTCCTGTGACCCTGGGATCACTGGAACCCGCACCTATGCCTGTGCCTCCTACGCCTGGCCTGCCGTGACCCCACCACTGGAACCCGCACCTATGCTCTGCAAAGCCTCTACGCCTCTCACCTGGCCTCTGTGGACCTGGGACCACTGGAACCCGCACTCCATGCCTAAAGCCTCCTTACGCCCCACGGCACTGGCCCTGTGGACCCTGGAGACCACTGGGAACCCGCACTCCAGTGCCTAAGGTGCCTCCCACGCCCTACAGGCCTGCTCCTGTGGACCCCGGGACCACTGGAACCGGCACTCCATGCTCTGTGCCTCCTACGCCCCCACCTGGCCCTCCTG